TGTTGCTACAGTGTTTGTGTTAAAATGTGTAAGGCATTTATATAAACCCCAGATATCTTCATTACAGAAAAGAAGTGTCATGGAGTTGAGCTGGTTTTATTTCTTTGATACAGGAGTATATACTTACCACCTTCGCTGTTACGTCTACCAAGCAAGAAACCTCATGGCTTTAGACAAAGACAGTTTTTCAGGTATGGAATAATTCTGCTAATGGGGCAGAAAACCCACTTTTGCCACGGACTAGTAACTTCATTTAGCTATAGAATATCTTCTATCGTAAAAGTCTGTGTGTAGGTCCAAGCTACTGAAACTATGCCATAAAGAAAGTCTCAGCTTTATTACATATGATCTGAACTTGCATAATACTACCAAACCCAAAGTGCTTTGAATGTGCAGGACCTATTGCTGCCAATGAATTCTCATTAAGGGAATGGGATTTCAAATAAGGTCTGAATTTCCCATAACCAATCCCTTCCTTTTGCCTTAGCTGCTTCTTCTAACCAAAGTCTACATACAATTCCTTTCTACCAGACTCTATCACAAAAGCAAGGATGAAGAATTGGATTGCTGTTATGTCACCAACTGCCTCTCAGTGTTTGATATCAATTCATTATGGAGATGAACTTGTAGAACACTACACTCTGCCTCACTAATAAGCATGGCTTTTGTTTGTTTATATAGTATTCAGTTTTTACTAATTTGAATTAAAATTCCACTGGAAAGTCAGAGAGCAAACTGAACTTACACCCTGTAAGAATATGACTTTATATTTCTTTTAAGGAAGTTCAGCAAAAGATAAAGATGTAATGGACTTAGAATTTTCTTTCCTCAGTCCTCTCCATTTGCACCTTTTGTTTTCTCCCTGTTTAAAGTAATAACTGAGTGTAATGCATTTGTTAAGAAGATGCAGTGCTATAGTGCTGTTTCCTGAAATGAGGAGGGTTTTGCACAGCTGCCTGTGTGCATTTGGTCTTATTTCAATAGTGATATAAACAAACAATAATTACTGCCTCTAATGTGCATAGGTGTAATTCAGGGCAGGTACCTCAGATGCAGTCACACATAAACTAGCTGATTTATCTTTTATTTTCCTCTAAAACTAGTTTGAAGAGTTAGTTAAATTTTGTAAAACTGATCAGGTTACCAAGTCAGAAGCTGTTGAAACTGACCTAATGATAACCTTTAAAATTGCCTCTAGTCCTTAGTAATTGCAATTTGTACTGGAAACATTAATGACCATCATCAGATACCTTCTACAGAGCTCTTGGTGATTTAAAGACCTGCCAGACACTGGGCCTAAGCCAGTTTAATCATTCAGCTGTTTCACAAGAAGAAGTTGCTATAAATAAGCATGTCTGAACCCAAAGCTTGATCTGAGCAATATACCCCGGGAGAATTTGTTGTTTGACAACTAGTCAGAACTAAATTATTTCTTTGTATTATTTATGAGGCTATACAGTTGTATAGCAATGGAAACAACAAAAAAAGAGCTCTACGGTCAAGATTTAAGAGGAGATTTGTATAGACAGTGTTTCATTTTAGTTTTCAGGTTCTCTTTCTGATTTGCAAGCTGTTTTATCATTTTCATTTACTGATCTGTTAAGACTTGTATAAAGGAGGCAATTTAGTAATCAAATGGAAATTGCTCTTTTAAATGTAAATTATTTATATGAGTTCAGTTTTGTGTTATCTAGAATGGCTTATAGAACTGGTAACAACGGAAGAAAAATAAAATACTATATTTGATAAAGATTGTGTTTGTGTGCCTCATGGCTTAATTTTGTTTGTCTGTAACTCTGTGCTCTTAATTTTGTATAATATTTCAGATCCATATGCTCATGTGTCTTTCCTCCATCAAAGCAAAACAACTGAGATCATTCATTCAACTCTAAATCCTACATGGGATCAAACTCTCATATTTAATGAAATTGAGATCTATGGGGACCCACAGACAGTAGCCCAAAACCCACCCAGTGTTGTTATTGAACTTTTTGACAGTGACCAAGTGGTAAGTGAAATCTTTTTACCCTGATTGCTTTTATGTTTATATATGTTACTTGAAAATACATTATGGCTATAATTGCTTTTTTTGATTGCAGGGTAAAGATGAATTCCTTGGCAGAAGTGTTTGTTCCCCCATGGTCAAGTTAATGCCAGAAGAGGACATCACACCAAAACTGCTCTGGTATCCTGTAATAAATAATGGCAAAGCTAGTGGAGATATTCTTTTTGCTGCAGAACTTATTTTGAGGGACAAGGTATGTATTTCTTTTGTGTGTGTGTGTGTATGTGTAATATATCCCTTCACAGTGAGAGATCATGTGAAGAATTTTCTTAATTATTGAAAGGTATTTCATCTAAGGAAGATGAGAGAAACTAATATTCATGTTTGTGTCTTAATAGGGTGGTGCCAACCTTCCAATTCTTCCGTCACAAAGAGCACCGAAGCTTTACATGGTACCCCAAGGAATCAGACCAGTAGTTCAGCTCACTGCTGTTGAGGTATGGTTTACTCTTAAACTAGATGATACAAGTACAGTCATCTCATCCTCTAGACAGTAATTTTGTGTATTTGCTTCAAGAAAACAAACAATCATAGTGAGATATATGGTGGCTTTTTTTCTTTAACTGTTTTTGATTTTCACTGTTTCCATTAACTTTCCTAGAATAAGAACCTTGAAATATCTTGCCAGTCACATGTTGTCTCTTTTATCATTTCCTTTTCCTTACTTTCTGAGTACCGTATTAAGCATATTGATATCTCTTCCCACTTTGGCTTGAATTGGATTTTATTTTACAGATTCTGGCTTGGGGGTTGAGAAACATGAAAAACTACCAACTGGCACCTGTTATGTCTCCGAGTCTCATTGTGGAATGTGGTGGTGAAATGGTGGAATCTGTGGTGATCAAAAACCTCAAAAAGACACCCAATTTTCCATCTTCAGTTCTCTTCATGAAAGTTGTACGTAGCAAAAAGCTATATACCAGACATCTATAGCAAAATGAGTTATTCCATAGTTTTAAAGGTCAAGGATTTGTTCTGAATAGAAGAACTTGCACATCCTGTTTTGACTTACCATGGGCAATTTATGAGCCTGAAAACTCTAATCAAGATCATGTAAACATATCTGTACAGTCATTGGTCAGTTTTAAAATTTTCTATGCACAATCCAATGAGTATATATTTTTA